CACACCGTGCCGAAACTCACAGAGTCTGGGTGGTGTAACCATTGTGCCGTCGGCAAATCATTGAACACGGCACCTAGACATTCATATATCGTAAGTGATTGTGTTTGTCTCCAACCGTAGGGAATGAAAGGAGACACTGGTATGGATGGAGACCCGGGGATGAAGGGGGTACCGGGTTCCAAGGGAGAGCTGGGTCCGCCTGGGGACACCGGCCCCGAGGGTCCTCCCGGGAGACTCGGCCAGCCAGGAAAAACAGTAAGACTCTCAATCTCTCAGTGGGTGTATCTACGTCCTAACAGCGGCCCCCATACTGTGTGGCTAGAGACAGGCTACAGTGTGTGGTGGGTAAGGGTTCTGTTTGGGTATATAGTCATCACCTGGTACTTCTCACTCTCTGCTCTGGCAGGGTATGGTGGGAATTGAGGGGGAGGGCACATTCATCATGAGTTGGTGGGAAATGAGAGTTTCTTTCCTGTTTGTAAATGCCCTCATTCGATCCCTCCTGCCCATCAAATGTAGCCAATAGATGCTCTCAATCAACCCATTACAAAATCTCAACTACACAATACATCCTCATTAGCTATACGCTAAACTGACGGTAACACTTCTGTCTCCCTGTGTGTGTTAGGGTCTACCAGGTGACAAGGGAGATCCAGGACCAACTGGTGCTCCCGGAGGTCCAGGCCCTGGAGGAAGACCTGTAAGCCCATGTGATGACATCACTCCTGAGATACTGTATATACTTGCCTGGTGTGTGTGGTCTACAGGGGCAGAAAGGAGAGCTTGGCCTGCCTGGTAGGAAAGGCATACCTGGAGAAGAAGGACCAAAGGTAACAACACCAATCCCTTCTTCCAGTTGTCTCGGTCAATCTGACCGTGCATCATTTCCCATCTATAGGGTGAGCAAGGTACCGATGGACCGAAGGGAATGCAAGGAGAACTGGGGCCAAAAGGAGAAACGGGAATGGATGTGAGCTCAATGACCCAACCCACCCCTTAAAAATAGCTATTCAATGAGGTGTTGCCTGTGCTGTAGGGGGAGAACGGGCTCGATGGTGTGAATGGTACAGATGGCGTCGATGGAGAAATGGGGATGAAGGGCGAAGGCGGTAGAATTGGAACTCCTGGCAAAACGTGTGAGCAAAACACACACAGTCTTTGCCACTACTCATATGGTCACCGGCTGATTTCGTGACTCAAAACTTAGTCTTATATGAAGAACCAACCACAGCTTTCCACAGAGTCTGTATATTTTTCAATGAGTGTAGTGTGTGTGTTTGTGCGTACGTGTGTGTGCGTGTGTGTGTACAATGTTGTCGTGTGCCACTAACTACAGCTACGTACTACTGTAGGGTCTCCCGGGTCCAGAAGGTCCTCAGGGAATGAAGGGAGACTCTGGGCCACCTGGAAGAATGGGCTCACCTGGCAAAACTGTACGTAATACTAACATTAACTCTGTGTATAATTATACACTGACATTTATCAAAATGGTGGCCATGTTGTTTCTTTGTAGGGTCCTGAAGGAGAGAAAGGAATGAAAGGAGATATTGGAATGGAGGGAATTGAAGGTCCAAAGGTGAAATAAGATGTCTGGTAGTTTTTAAGCGCAGTATGTAATGCGTGTTGTGAATAATTGTTAGGGAGAGGAAGGAAATGACGGAATGAAAGGAGATGTAGGAGATAGAGGAGAAAAGGGCGATCAAGGACAAAAGGTGAAAAATCCTTCCTAGCTTCTGGTCCCCATGTGTAAGTATGCAGAAGATTACAGTAACCTACATCCCTGTAGGGTGACGTTGGTCCGGAAGGAGAGAGAGGTTTCAATGGTACCGATGGTACTCCTGGTACCCCTGGGGAAGAAGGCAAAGAGGTACGCGTGATTTAAAACACTTGAAATGACAAAAAAGTACAACAAGCATGCCATTTAGTATAAGACAAACGTTTAAGTGTGAAATACCGTAAGGAAGGTGAATTTTTTGGTATATTATTAATATGTCACCCGGATGTGTGAAAGTGCATATAATTATGTGCCCAGGATAATGTATATGAAATTAAAACATAAAAAGGTTTTTGTGCCTCCGCATTGATTGCACGTACGCCCATCCCACCTCACTGCTGTACGGCATTGCAGCAGACTTTGTATGACACGTTGTTTCCCACCACCACCTACCTACCTACACAGGGTATTGAAGGTCCACTGGGACCAGAGGGTCCACCTGGGAGGCAAGGGACACCAGGAAAACAGGTCCGGTCATACTACCCTCTACCTGGGTGTGTGTTTACTAGGCACCTTCTCTACTGTAACAGGGACTCCTGGGAGAGCCTGGAAATAACGGTTCGAAGGGAGAGAAAGGAGACCTTGGGCCCATTGGACCAGAGGTGAGTCTGACCAGACGTGCATGCCACAAGCGCTGCGCCTGAGCAAAGCCTTGTGGGGATGAATCTCATTAGTTCAAAACCACAAGTGCTGCGCTCAACTTTGCCTTTATAAACTCGTGATGCCAGAGAGAGAAGTTGAGGTATGCTTTGCTGATGAGGGCCGAAACAGCTGTCCAGAGCTCCGCATCTTTTTTCTCTTGGCATCACATGGTCTATTGTTACATGCGTACCTGGGTGTAGTTGACTTGTTTGCCTTGTCTTGCCTTTCTACCTCGCTACCACGTTGTTGAGACATGCCTATACTATGCAAATCTCTGGCTACCTTGCTTGCTAACTTTGTGTGTGGAGTTGTACGTTTGTCTGCAGTCAGTCTTAGTCACAGTATAAGGAAGTAAATTGACAAGGGCTTGTATGTACTACATCGTGTCTGACAGCATTCTTACGTAGCAGGGATCCCAGAAAGAGCTGCCAAATTCTCACCAAATCCTAATGTGTGCTGATATGTTTCATGTTGAATCTACGTGTGTGGTGAACTGTATCATGTGTGGACATGCAGGGGAAGCAAGGAGACGATGGCACGAACGGGACTGATGGACTTCCAGGGAGAATGGGCAGGCCAGGGAAAACAGTAAGACATCTCCACTCCATCTACAAATGTATACGTAGCTAACAGTGACACTATGTTATGGTGAACATCATACACACAGCTACAAGTCTTGTTGACTTGCCTATACAGTATGTTCTTCAATCGTGATACATATTATTGTGATACACTCTAGGGTCTATCAGGAGAACCAGGGATCAATGGTACCGATGGAGCTCCGGGTATGAGGGGTATGCCGGGGAAGAAGGTGAGTTGTCGTGGATTTTTTCATCGTTACGTTACATCATCCGTTCCTGGACAGGGTGAGATGGGAATGAAGGGAGATGAAGGGTTTGATGGCATACCGGGCAGAACAGGACAACCTGGGAAAAATGTTAGTTATGTGCTAGCTCTGTACGTGGTGCCGAGTGCAGGCAACCCTACTTGCAGTTCAATTTGTCTGTAATTGCTGTGTGCATAATAGTTAGTATGTAAATGTGTATTACTGTTTGTGTGTGTTGTGTGAATCGTGTGAATCGGCAACAGATTGCAGTGAAACATGTGTCCAGACATTAAATGTACAATTACAACTTATACAATGTCATCACACTGCCCCCATTTTTCAATGGAACTATTATGTGTACATGTGTGTGTGGTGTGTATCTACTGCAGTGCTTTTGTACAGAATGTTTTTGATTTGTTTGTGGTTGCTGCTTAATAATTGTGTATAATTGCAGGGTACAGAGGGAAGAGATGGGGAGAAAGGAGGAATGGGAGATCCAGGGAGAATGGGCAATCCTGGCAAACAAGTAAGACTCCCAGTCTCGCGTTTTGTGTCTGATATTGGTTCCACCTATGTAAATACATGTGTAAATATACATCTCTCTGTGTGTGTGTGTGTGTGTGTGCGTGCAGGGTTTACTAGGGATGAAAGGTGATGGGGGAGACACGGGAGAGCCGGGGTCTAGGGGATTGCCAGGGAAACAGGTGAGCCAGCAGGCCCCTCTTTACTCAGAACTAGCAAGAGAGAGAGAAAGACCAGAGTCATAGACATTATAATTTCAGATTCTCAATTTTTGCTTTAACAGCACTCTCTTAGTGTTGCTTTGGTCAAGATATTAAAGTAGAGTGTAGCTCTCCCAATGTACTGCAAATTGTATATGAAAATCTTCTGATGGTGTGTTTTGACTCACATGGTGTGTGTGTGTGTGGCTGTTCCGTGCAGGGAGAGGAGGGGCCTCAAGGTCCACTTGGAGAGACGGGAGACATGGGGATGAAAGGAGATAACGTAGGTTGTGTTTGTCTGTAGAGCCACGGATGCAGCACGGATGCAGCACCGTCTCTCTAGCTACGATAGACACACATGTGTTACCGAACAAGACAGTTGTGTACGTACGTCACACATTATGCTTGTGTCGCAGCTTATCTCTTGCGTAGTTGACACTAGCTTCATAGCGTTTAATGTTGACACTGCAAAAGCCTGTGTGCGTCATCATACACTCTGATATTACTGGCAGTGTCGCTGTCGTTGGTCATTGTCTCCAGCTGTAACACATGTACGTCTGTATTGATGTTGACGTTGCAAATGCTCGCTTCCGTTGTACATTAATTGTGGTGGTGTTGGCACAAGTCAGCATGTCATTGGTTGTATATGGACTCACCTGTGGCAAACCCCAGGGCACGAAAGGTGACAAGGGAGATTTTGGAGAGAAAGGGATGACTGGAGAAGAAGGCCAGAAAGGAGACTTGGTAACCTACCCTCCACAGCAGAGGGCCTCGTCTCATTGCCGTTGTGCTCTGTACTGTAGGGAGAAGATGGAGAAGACGGACTTCCCGGGGAAACTGGCAGAAAAGGATTCCCAGGAGATTCCGTAAGCTAGTTTTTCCCCGAGTGTAGCGTTTTGTTGACTAGAAGTTTAGTGTCAGTGTCCCGTATGATGTTGTAATTTTTTCTCATCCATGCAGGGAGAGAAAGGGGACTTGGGTATGGAAGGTCCACAGGGAGACCAGGGAATGAATGGAACAAAGGGAGAAGTGGTGAGAATAGCCTTTATGCTGTGCGCGTGTGTCACTGTGTTATTGGCTGTGGTTCTTCTTCTGGTGATAGGGAATGAAAGGAGATGAAGGTCCAATGGGTATGAAGGGAGAGAATGGGACAGACGGAAGAGGTGGTACACCGGGAGATATGGTGCGTCGCCCAGTCTTTTCCAGTGCAGTAACTAACCCCATAATTGCTAATATTTGCAGGGTCTACCCGGACAGCCAGGAAGTAACGGAACTGATGGCAGGGACGGTACACCTGGACGGATGGGCACGCCAGGAAAAACGGTGAGGGATGGTCGCAGAACATCTGGCACTACGTTCAGAGTCTGCTTCCTTTCAGGGCTTGTCAGGTCCTGAAGGTGAAGACGGGATACCTGGAACACCAGGCAGAGTGGGACCTCCTGGCAAAACGGTAGGAGTCTTAATCCACACACTAGTCTTACATAGTCAATGATGTCAGGCCACTTATGGTAAGACTTCAAACTCCCACGAACAAGAAAATTGTAGTTTCTTGCAAGAAACGGTCTTATGTATGGTCCAATAGTCTTACATTAGATTCTTGTGTTCTCTGTAAGACTCTATCACGTATGCCACTACATAAGACCTTCTAGGAGACATACCTTGTGGATTTATAATGATACACGGTATTTGCATTAAAACCCACTAGCTCGGATGTAATGTTGCTCTCATTACACTATCATTACTCAGGGGCCGAATGGAGACAAGGGTGATGTTGGAATGCCCGGTGTAATGGGTCTCACAGGGAAGCCGGTGAGTGTGGGACGGCAGTGAGGTACCTTTACCAGCGCAGCTTTTGACTCAAAGAGCTCTAGTAAACATGTGGTTGACGCCCACTACTTTATCCACATACCAATAGGGCTGTCGTGCCATCTGCTCATTTGCCTTGTTAACTACAGGGAGAGGAGGGTCCAATTGGAGCTCCAGGTCCAGAAGGGCCAAAAGGAGAGCAAGGAATTAATGTAAGGAACTTGCAAACACCACTTGAAAACATGATCACATCCACGTGTATGTCGATCAGTCTTAGCTGCATCTCAGAGTTGTCAAGAGTGTTTTTGATTTTCACAGGGCACTGAAGGACCCGTGGGTGAGAAAGGAACTGCAGGAACCATGGGCAGAACAGGGAAACCTGTAAGTTAACCGGCAGATACACATTACAGATGACATCTTGTTCCTTATGTGTACATAGTGTGTTACTGTTAAGAAGTGCGGCAGTGTGTAGCGTGTTACCCAATGCAGCAGGGTGTGGGCTGTAGTCAACATGGCTTGGCATCCAGCTAAAACTGTTTCTTAGTCTGTACAACTATCACACATATTGAATGTGTTAGAACCGTAAATCGTGTAGTTTTGTGACAGCACGACGCGTGTTCTTATGTTTGTTCTTCTGTATGTTACTCTTTGCACTGTGTACTCGCTGCTAACTTGCATTAAATATCATATTTGACCTAAATGGCACATAATGTTCCAACGTAGCTACTACATATGTGCCTATCTCTGTGCCACATATGTTCTGTGCCATGTACAAAAGAGTAATGTCACATATGTAAAAACGTACACATGAGGCTAATGTGTAGTGGTGGTGACTAAGGTGTGTGCTATGTGAACACAGGGAGAGAAGGGAGACCTAGGAGAGCAGGGTGACCCAGGGAGGAAGGGGATACCTGGTACTGATGGTATGAAGGGAGATGGGGGAGACAAAGGGGACGCAGGAGACCCAGGACAGAGAGGACTTCCCGGGAAACAGGTCCGAGGAACATACACATACGTTCTGTGGCACTGTTAGCTACTCTAAACCACCTGCTAGTTAATGAAAATGCCACCTGCTTTCGACTCTGCTTGTCCAATTGTATTAATGATCCAACTACGTAGCTATTGCCGAGAAAAATGTTTGTGTTCAGTATTATTTAGTGTAGTCTCACTTCACTGCACGTCTGCTACGATTTAATATTCTGTGTTTAGTCAATGTACGTACGTACGTCGTCCTGGTACAGGGTCTGGCAGGAGATGACGGAGAGAATGGAATGAAGGGTGAAGTCGGGCGAATGGGAATGCCTGGAAAGAAGGTGAGGTTCATCGAGTACCATCGTGCTCATTAAGTGACAACCTCTGTGTGTGTGTGTGTGTGTGTAGGGTGAGGAAGGTCCTCTTGGTGCACCGGGAGAAAGAGGACGAACGGGGAAGCCTGGAGAAGAGGTAAGACACAGGAACAATATTATTAGTATACATTATGTTCCACACTTTGAAAGCAAGCCTGAACATTTATGCTGTTGTGCTCAGTCATAAGTATTGTGTTTTCCTACATGTGGCTATATACCCAACATGTCAGTGTTTGATACTGAGTCAGATTAGTATGTTGAAGATGTTGTGTTGTGATACAGGGTACACCAGGCCAGAAGGGAGATGAAGGCAGTACTGGTATGCCGGGACGTATGGGGTCACCAGGGAAAGAGGTGCTGTGTTGAGCCCTACAACAACACAGTGGCTTAAAATCATTGATTTTCTCTCTGCAGGGGTTAAAAGGAGAGAAAGGAATGATTGGTCCAATTGTAAGTTCCTTTAGGATATCGTAGAGATGTTACTATGTACGTACTATCTCTTCTGCTAATGTAGGGCCCTAAAGGTATGTTTGGACCCAAGGGCGACTCAGGAGATCCCGGTAGGAAGGGAATACCAGGAATGAAGGTGAGGCTCGCTAGCACGTCTTGCAGAACATTTGACAGAAAAAAGTCTCTTGTGTGTTGTGGTTATATTGAGACTCCTGATGTCGTCTACAGGGTATGGAAGGTCCCCTTGGTCCTGAAGGTCCAACTGGCACGCCTGGACAACCGGTATATCCATTGTTATTAACCCTCGGGCACGCATGCGCAGCAAGGGTTGCAGTACTTGGTTTGTAAGTCTGTCTGTCCGCACTTCTTAATCTCGCATATCGTGCTATAATAATATGCAAAAAGAAGAATGCTAGCATATAGTGTTTGACAAGTTAATCAAAATGTAAAAGCTGCTTTCTCTAAAATCGCTTACCTGAAAAGGTGTAGAGTGTTTGTTTACCACAGCAAGGTCCGCCATTTTGATTCTACGCATGCGTTTTCATCAGCTGTATACTTTTGCAGCAAATTACTTCACAGACACGCACGCATACACTGGCATTAGTAGAGAAATTATTGCAATGTTGCGCATACCGCCTAGAGTCCCAGCAGTCTGAGCCGTCCTTGATGAATCGACCGCAAAGCCGATGGTCAAAGTTCGATTCTTGCTGGAGGTGTTTTTTCCAGCTAGCTCAAACATAATTTTTACAAGTTCCATGTGTGTTATTGCACAAGCTTTTTGCTACACTGCATGCTGAAATTATCACTCCAATAATAGCGCTGTATCTGTGCCGATGGTTTTCACTTTAGTGCTTTTCTTTGATTGAAGTAGTAAGTAACCTTCAAGATGGGAGGTCCATATTATCTGTCTGTATGCAAATTATACCTCATAGTTGAAAGGCTCAGTGACTAATGATATTTTTCTCTTCTTTGCAGGGTTCGGAAGGAATGTCGGTGAGTTTTTGCACTAGCTTTGACAGCGACCCACTCTAGAGGCAAATCGCCTATTAGGGTGTTATTTGAAGCCCAATACCTACCCACACGTATTTGCAGCAACAGTAGACTTAGACGGTAAAGCGTTTTTCAGCAAGAACCCTTTTCACTTACGAATGTGTATCTTTATTGTGTTTGAGTGAGAGCTCAGTAGCGTAGATTAAACTGCTCATCTGTGATGTGTGTGTGTGTGTCTGTGTGTGTGTAGGGTCCTCAAGGAGAGCCAGGTAGTAGAGGTCTACCGGGGAAGAACGGGGTGGACGGAGAGCCAGGGATGAAGGGAGAGACGGGCATGAAGGGAGACCCTGGCATGAATGGAGAGCCTGGGCAAATCGGTGAGAACTTTTAGGGTTGCAGTACTTGACACACTAGATTAGAGAGCGTTAATAATTTTGCTTAGTAGTAGGTGTGTGTATGTATGTACTCTTAGCTCCACCTACCATTCTGGGTGTGTGCTGTTTTGGCCTAGAGCTACTGCGGCAGTTTTTCAGACATTTGTGTGTTAAAGGGAACGTGGTAGTGCTGTAAGAGATCCATTTAGACAATGTTGAAAACAGAAAACGAATTGCAATCTTTTCACTGGGCCCTGTTGTTTAGCTAATAACAACCCTTATGTATATACCTCTAACATCATCGGGTGATATAATTACTTATCTCCTTCATAATTGGTACAAATTAATGTCTGGGATGTTTTTGTGCAGGATTGACTGGTAAACCGGGCGATGATGGAGTGCCAGGGAGCCCAGGGATGAGGGGGAAACCTGGGGAGACAGGAGAGATGGGAATGAAGGGAGACAACGGGACAATGGGTCCACCCGGTCGAATGGGGGCTCCAGGAAAAATGGTGAGTTTCTACTGGGTCACTGGGAGCCTTCAATTGTTCAAGCAACATATCAATGTGTTTTCTGCTACTGACACTAGAAGAGAGATTTACTGTTACAAAGATCTAAGTGGGACTAGTTCATAATCATGCGTGAGATTTTGTCCACATAATATAGTGCTAACTTTGGTGCTGTGTTGGACTGGAAGCCTTCACTATAGTTGAAGCGACTCATGTTACCAACCACTGATACTAAGAATGTTATCTTGTTTCTGTTTTGTGTGTATCAGGGGGCATTCACTCCAAGTCTTTGGTTATAGTCAAATAATTATCAACGTGTTCTGTACCACTTGCACAATGATTTAAGGTTTCTGTTTCGTGTGTGTATCAGGGTACTCCTGGTAGCATGGGTCTCCCTGGTAAACCTGGTCTCCAAGGACCCGAGGGTCCGAAGGGAGACATTGGAATGGACGGGACTCCAGGATCCACTGGGATCCCTGGGAAGCCGGGACTACCTGGGATGAACGGACGGACTGGTCCGCCGGGCAAGAACGGAGAGCCTGGCTCACGTGGACTCCCGGGGAAAGTCGGGATGAAGGGAGAGAGTGGAATGAGAGGACTCCCTGGAAAACGTGAGTAACCCCTTTAGAGTAGAAAATCTTTACACATACATCGCATAAATGACGTTCATGACGCTCCATAGTAGTGCTTTTGAGTAGCCAAACTAATAATATCAGTGGGAGTTTTGGTTTAAAATACAGCCCAGTATCATTGTTAGTTCCACATACCGATGAGTTTATAAATTGTGTTTAAAACTCATGTTTGCTTGCCAAATTTGGTTGCATTCTATATAATTATACACTTTTACAATCTTCTCCTCCTCCAGCCGGTCGTAATGGTACCAGTGGCATACCTGGACGGAAGGGTATCCCTGGAGGGCCGGGCTCTCGTGGGCTGCCTGGTAAACCTGGGACTGACGGGAGCCGTGGTCTCCCCGGGAAACCTGGCCAGAGGGGAATCCCAGGGAAACCGGGTCTGGACGGTATTCCGGGAATGGACGGTGTCGATGGTGTCCCTGGAACCAAGGTTAACATAACCTGTGTAAAGATCAACTGTGTATATTCCTGTATGTAGATTGTATTTATGGGACTAGCTATAGAAATGAATTGATCCTGTCTAACCCCTTTTTCGTACCCTTATAGTGTACTGTGCGTTGAACTATCAACAACATTTTGTTTCTTCTGTTCTTTCGTGGCCTTCGTTTAGTAAACCCTGATTTATATGGAGGAAGTACCAGAATTTTATGTTGTGGCATTCAGTTTTGTTTCACCTCGTATTACGTACGTATGTACAACTGTTTTGTTCCCTTTACTTTTACCATGAAGGGTGTGCCCGGTACCCAAGGAATGAAGGGTGAACCTGGACCGAAAGGAGAAATTCTAAGTAAGTTCTAACTTTACCTTCAAATTTGGGTTTGTAAAAGAGTTTGCACTAGTTTATTCCTTCCCTCTATCCTCACTATCCTTCCTCCTTCCCACTCTCACTCACTCTCAGCAAGTACGGCCCTTTTTCCACCAGATTCTGCCATCCTTCTGAGTCTTTTTTGTGCACATCTTACTTCTCTTGTTGTTCCTTGTCTCCTCCCAGTTATTGATGGGCCGAAGGGCATCAGTCGGGGTGGTTGGTGATAAGGGTGACACGGGGGATCCCGGGGAAAGGGGAGAAGAGGGTGACGACGGCCAAAGAGGTTCTTCTGGCCGGAAAGGAGATCTAGGAGATGAGGGTCAGTAGAAACAATAATGTTTTGGTGACTCTCATTAATACCTACATATCGAAAAAAACTGTAGATACACTTCTGCTTGAGAATTGCATAAAAGTTTCTCCATATGAGATTCAAAATGCTGCTGACACCTTAACAGTAATTAAAATTAATGAGCCAGGTGCATCCCAGATTCTCACAAAAAAGAGGGATTTTGTTTGTTTCTGGTGGAATAGCCTGTATGTCTGCTTGCAAAAAGCCGGTGGTTGGTAAGTATGCATCTCTATAAACGTTCCATTTAAATACTGGCGATTAGGTACATTAGCATTGTGATTTTTAAAGTTGTGGACGCAGGTGGTGTTCAATTATTGGTGCTGTAATTGTGTCTGTTGTTGCAGGTCCGAAGGGGTGCAAGGGAGATATGGGAGATATGGGGCTAGTGGGTATCAAGGGAAACAAGGGAGAGAGGGGTGCAGAGAAGGGCCAGATGGGAGAGCAAGGCCAAAAAGGTTAGTTCTCCTCTGTATGAGGCACTGCAAAATTGTGCATGGTTGATGCGAAGTAGGCCTTAATGAGCATGCATTCTACAACCACATGTTATTACCCTCGGCGCGCATGCGCAGCGAGGGTACTGTAGTTGGGTCTGTCTGTCTGTTTGTCTGTTACTCTATATCTGACCCCTCGGAGGCACCAGAAGATGCAACGCAGGGCGTGTATCGCCTCTCGCATGCTATCTAGTAGTGTAGTTAGCCCGCGTCAGACTCTGCGCGAGCTGGCAAGAGTCCACGAGTAACAGCTAAAGCTAAACCCAGCCCATCAATTAGTGGTACGGCGCATGCGTTTACTTACTCGTGCGCGTCACAGTGCGCTGCCGAGGGTTTGCACTTCAGTGCTTTTCATTTGGCCACTTTTTTAAGGTGTTCAAGATAACACCTCAACAATGTACCTAGCATTTCTTCAACTTTACTTTAAATTTCTTTTTGGTGACTTTTTCTTGATCACGCCTGTGCCAAACGGCATGATTTATCATCCAACTGTGTAGGCAATAGATTGTGTGTGCTTCTTTTACAGAGAATGATGTACTTCACTTAAAAATCTGTTTTGGTAACTCTTTCTGGATGCTTTATTATCCTGACTAGGTGACGTGGGGCCGGAAGGTAGAGAAGGTCCCAAGGGGTCCGTGGGGGACAAGGGGGAAATAGGAGACCAGGGACCAGTCGGTGAAATGGGGGAGAAGGGGGATATTGGTGATGTGGGGGAGAAAGGAGACACGGGGGACATGGGCGTGGAGGGGCAAAAGGGAGAAATGGGTGTCGTCGGAGCCAAGGGAGAGAAAGGACAGGCTGCACTCATGAGTGTGAGTAATGTAAAATAAAGAGAGAGTTTGATGAACGTCAACAAAGATACCGTATATATAGCTGGAATTTTGAAGGAGAAAACCTTGCCAATTTATTAGCTGTCCACAAAAGTATATTGCTGAATTTTGCAGCTTGGGGTCATTTTCATTGTGGGATCAAAAGTATTCTCTCTCTAAAGTTCCCATAATACGGTTATAATTATTGTTTCACTCACTATCTTAGCCAAGCATCTTGTCTTGATGTTGATGTCTCATTGCAATTGCAGGTTCAAATCTTTGACAGCTTCGAGAGTCTCAATGCGTCAGATCTAAATCTCGACGTCGGTTCCGTGGCGTTTGTACTGGACACCGCTGTGATGTATATCCTCACTGAAGACGGATGGACCTCAGCTCTAGTACGTATGGTACACGTGTTAGCAAATCTCCCCAGGTGTCCTTTAGGGATTGTGAGCACATCAAGTAGATATGGTAATGCACTTTTTGCACTGTTGGTTAAAAAATCCATTTTACTTGATACGGTCACATCATATCTATATCTGCTGTACTGTTAAACCTATCCTGTTGATGATTCTGTTGTTTTGAAATGCGTGTGTGTGTGTGTGTGTGTGTGTACTAGGCTGCACCTAGGCCCGACACTGCCAGCATTGGACGTCGTCGCAAGAGAGATCTCCACACATCCCACAGACACTTCTCCGCCTCATTCCACAAGCAGTACCTGGAGCAGATGAAGCTGAGAGACCAGGCAAAGCACATGGCCACTGTGAGTCCAAGTCCTACAGTAATTGCATACCTAATGTATGCAACGATGAGGCAATCATTTCAGTATGGATTATACTGTGTGATGTTTTGCGTGGGAAAGGAGTCAAACATGGTAGGAGTAGGTGGACTAAAGATGGATGCATTACAAGTTCCAGACTTCTCAGTAAAAACATTCAACCATCACAAATTGTACCTCCACATTGGAAGAAGTGTTTTGGGTGGTTGTGTGCTAGTTCGGTGATGTTCTAAGCCTTTCTGAAAGGATTCAAACTCACAAGCTCATATTATTTGAAGTTACGTTGAATTTCTTGAAGGAGTCTTTCTCTGTGTCCCTGCAGTGCGGTAACGGTGTCAAGGAAGAAGGAGAGACATGTGATGCAGAGGACTTTGGAAGAGAGACTTGCCAGTCCAGCCAGGGAACAATGTGGGTTACCCACTACCCATTACCATAATTTATAGAGTATAGCAATAATAAGCACACTTACCGTGAGATTCTCTTACCACATTGTAGGTCTATAGGAAAACTGGCGTGCACAGAAGACTGTGAAATAGACACATCCTCCTGCCAACCACTCAGTGTAAGTTCAGCTGGACACAAAACTGGAGTAGTGTTTGTCGAACATGTGAGAAACTCATGAGTTTTCCATATCATCACAGCTACTGATGTTTGCCCTGAGTGAGCCGCTGAGTGGGAGTGCCGTTAGTGCACAGTACCCCACTCTTCCCTCCTCCCTCCCTCCCTCTCCTCATCTCAACACCACCCTACGGGCCGACCTCGCCTGTCAGCTGGATGCCAGGCGACTGGGGCTGCACGGCACCTACATCGCCATGCTCTCAGCCTCTCAGAGATCTCTGGTCAACATCATACCCTCCCACTATACCAGCCTCCCAGTTGTCAACACCAAGGTGAAAAAACTTCCTTGCCCTTAGTTAATGAATACAAGCTCTCATACTAACAATAATGCAAAGGCATACACGATGCAACTTTGCATGCTACTATTAATGTATGGGTATGATGGACTGACTATGATGGAAAGTTACTGGTTTCGTGCACCCATCATACCCCATACATTTGAAGTTTTGTCGCATCGTGTATCGTAGCCTTAGTTGAGTGGCTATGACTGTGTTATACACTGCAGTTTACTGTTATAGACATGTTTGGTTTGTTAGGGAGAGGTGATAGCGTGGTCGTGGACGGCCATGTTCTCGCATCCACTCAACACGGCTCCACTGTTCACACTGCACGGAGAAGATATACGCTCCTCCAAGAACTGGTTTTGTACATTACACCTATGTATAATACTTAACATCAGCATGATAGCTACATGTTTTATAGTCGATTTTTTGTGTTTACCCGTGAATGACAAACTAATTGTTAAGCTTTATAACCTTACAGTACATTTGTGTAAAAATGAAGTATGACCTTGCAGTACATTTGTATAAAACTGAAGCAGAAAACTATGACCTTACAGTACGTTTGTTAAAGTATGACACGGTTGTTTAACTAAGCTATCAGCTCACTGATGTAACTGTCTCAGGTCTGGCATGTGGCATGGGTCCACATCAGAGGGTGCGGCGTCACACTCAGACTGCCTGTCCTGGTCGAGCTCCTCCTACACGGCATCAGGCTCAGCAACTCTATTCACAGACACGCGTACCAACAGCAACGACAACAGCAACAACATACTATTAGAGCAAATAGACGTTCGGTGTGACAGACCGCTCGCCGTCTTGTGTGTGTTGAGCAGTCCAGTTGTCTGACGCCTCCTGTACAGCCTATTCATCATTATGCTATCACAGGAGCTAGTCCTTACAAAACTCTATAGAATTATCTTCCTGGATTACGGATTGAGTAATGTTTTGACCGAGTCTTGCATAACAATAATAATTCTGTTATTTGAGTCTCAACAATCTGCTATACTACATGTATTATTGTACTCTAGTTGCTGTGGTGTCATTGTGTGATAACTATATAGTGTAGCTCTGTTTTTTCACTTTCATGTATAAATAATGTTTTTTAGGATAATATTGCACATATTTAGGGCTTGTTCCATGATGAAGGGATGTGAGGTGGGATGTGCCAACGTTTTAAAAATGTACACTGAAAGCAAAAGCAGAAAGACAGTAGCATATTGTGTGGTATAATATTAGCGTGGTTCTAAGTCTCCTGTTGGTGGTGTTAGGTCACACAAAACGTAAGCTATAGAATGCCAGTAGCATTACTGTACCAGGTAGAGACACCACAGACATGCAGTTTCAGTATAGCTTTGTGCCTCTGTTTCCATCATGCTAGTCTCAGAATCTTGGCTTGCCTTTTTTTCTCAAGACTGCTGCAGAGTATCTCCAGTAAAGTGTCATTTGCACCACCTATCTACTACAGCAAATCCATTGATTTTCCCTCCAAGATCACTACTATCAATTGTGAACTACGCAAGTCAGGGTGGACAAACAAGGGTGGCTGACACTGATCAGCTCTGAAGTCGGAGTGCCTTTTGATTTCGTGGTGACTGACGTGAATGCCATCGTGCAGCTACGCATAGTACTAGTGTGAGGAGATCCCACAGTTTTGAATGAGGTCAAAACATTGGAACACCGCTATGTTTTGAGCTCACCCAGTCTGTAGCACAATCGGAGAGTTCCCCTGAGAGCCACACCTGATTAATATTGAGACTTCCTGGAGAAAATGAGTGTATTGAAGTTCCCCTGAGAGCCACACATGATTACTTTTTTTATAGATGCACTAATAATACACAGAATGTTAAATATCTTAGGCAGTATAATGTACAGTGTTTGTGTTTTCACACATAACTGCTATAAGTCCCACCATAAACACCCCAAACCAGGAAAATGAAAGTGATATTGCAGCAGTCTTGTGACACCAGAAGAATGTTCTTTAATAACAAACTGTACTACTGTGAGTGTATTAAACTTCCCCGAGAGCCTTACATATTTATAGGAGTTAACTCACTAAGTATACGTAGCAATGAGTTCAAAGAGAGCACACACACATCATTTCCAGCAAGCTCAGTGTCTGCTCAGCATAAACCTCCACAGCAGCACAGAATGTTCAAACGGTATATACAGCAGTGAGTGTCATGGAACTTCCCGATAGCCTCATATGGAGTTAGAATGAGATGACGATGTGAATGACTGCTTAAGCTGACATAATACGCAACTTGTCTGCGAATAAACAGGCGTATTATATGAACATTAGCATTATAGCTCACATCACTTTTTAAAGATACAACTGCTAAAGCAGTGCCTAAATATACGCTAATGACATATCTCCTAAGTAAAGAAGAACAATGTATATATTAAACTGTTCATTTTAAACACTTTGAACGCAACCCCCAAATCACGATCTGGTGGAACATATCAACATATCCTCTCTTTGTATCAGCATTTTCGTTGTTGAGCTGCTGAATCTATGCACTCCATGATACGCTTCAGTTGTATATCTTGAAATTTTAATGACGCAGAGGCGTTGTAATGATTATTTTCTCGCGCGCACATGTAGGGTATCAGAATAGCAGAATTTGGTTAATGTGTAGAGGAGTAGGTAATTCATTGGGATGATTTCGACTTTATCCTTGTCTTCATCCCATATGCTACATGTGTTCTTTGCATCCACCGAGCTGGCAATAAAAAACATAAACCATGGAAAGAGAAACCATGCCTGAAACACTTCATTTATCCTTTTACACTCTCTCTCCCTCTTCCACATATTGATCTGTCAGTGAAGGCATGCCGTCTAATCAGCAGTCATTGACACCATCATGTTTTGTGAACTTCTTCCCAGATCTTTTAATGGTCAATGTGGAAATTACATCCGCAGCTATCTAATGTTATAAGCCCATGCATAGCGAAAGGATGTTGAAGAAGCAGTAGATAATAAAAACAGAAAACGTGGTGGTAACACCACACCCCTTCCCTTTTACCGAACATATATTATGAATTTCGACTGCTGTTTCCAACAACTGGGATAGTCAAGCCTAGACAGCGGAAAACAAGAATTTAAAGACCAAGAACCAGGGAGCCTTGCTACGAAAAAGTCCTCATTGTCCAACACATCTGGCACTGAACTGAAATGAATTCTTATCTTTTACCACAGGAACAGTGGAATAAAGATGGGCATGTACTCCCATGATCCTTAGAATAGAACAACCCGTACATAGCTGCGTGCCGTGCAGTAAAGGAGGGGCGGCTGTGTACCTTATCTTGTGTTTGAGCAGTGTGTGCCAGTAGTGGTTCAATGACATGATAGAAAGGCTTGTGTATACTAATGTACCAAGTGACTATTGCTCTTGCGCAGTGCAATAATTCTACTCCAACCATGATCGTTATTAATAATGTTAAAACAGTGATTGGGGACGTTGAATACAGCAAA